ACGCTGCGGGGTCAGTGGCTCTGTGGTAGGGTTGGAAGTTGACACAGCGCACTCTTTGAGGCTTGTTGGTTTTTGTTTCGAGTACCATGATGTGGTGCTCATCTATCGCATGTAAGTATCTTGCGGGGGTGGCTCTTGGGGCGAGTTCGGATATTTGTTTCCTGTGAGCCAGTTCAGGGATTGTCCCTAGTTGGCGATGCACTTACGGAGATGGTGGACTCTGGAGGTGGTGTCGGGTACCGGCAACCAGAGGGTCAGGGCCGTTCCTAACGACGAGCACGGAGGGCCGTTCCTAACATGTCACTCCCCTGTGCCACTCCTCCCGTCGCATTGCCTTTTACATCCTTTTTCATCCCTGCGTTAACGTCCAACGGCGCGCTTGTGACCCAACTCTTGCATCTCACGCAAACCTACGCGTTTTCTTACGCATGCTAACTGCAAAGAGTCAACGTTTTTAAAAATGCTGCCACTGCAGGAACGCGTGCCAAGGCACAAAACGTCATCCGCACCCCATGCAAACGGACAACCCCTTGGCCCCCGCTTCTCTTTCCCCATCTCTTCCCATTTTCATATTTTTTCATTGCACCCAGTACCGAGACTTATACCCCACGTACCTAACATTACTCCCCGCCGCCCCTGACCTTACAATCTCTCCCTCACAGAAACCCTACCTCACCCACCCCAATCAAAACAATCGATACATACATACTCTCGTTCCGTCACCCTTCTAACTATCGTAGCTAGAGACGTACCGATTGGGCGCAGATGAGGGAATGCACAAATGCCTAAGGGACGTACCCATCCTGCAAATGCCTCCGGATACAAATAATGAAGAAAAAGTAAAAAAATCTATATATACGCTCGAAAGCCGATCATTTTCTCGGTAACAACAACCTCGTCAGCATTTCATTTCTTACCGCATCTCCGCCCAAATCCTTGACCTGCAACGTCCAGTAACGGACAACCAAGAGAGCATCTTGATGCAATCCAATCATCAATCAATCCGATTGACCCTCAACTTTCTATCAACTCACTTCTTTCTCTTCATGTCTTGTATGAACACTTCGCCGAGTGATCTTTCGTGTAAGACCTGTGTTACATTGGAATGCCACATGCTTTTCCTTTTCCATATTTTCTACCTTGCCCTTCTTCTGTAGTCCTGCCATACCATGAATCCCATGAATCCCGGGGAATTATCGTGATGCTAAACTCCGATCGCTTACATGACGTAACGGCATGCGAGGCGAGAGGAACTCGAGTGGAAAAATGTCACGGCAAGTCCAGCCGCGCTTGTCTCACTGGCTCACAAGGAGAGCTCCTTGTGTGCCGGGCATTGAAATTAAGTCGAGAAATAAAACCCCAAGAAATGACTGGGCCACAATTTCCCCATTTTTCTGTATGCTTCCAGATCTAATTCCGATCCCTCTGGCATCTCCCATGCATCGTTGTCCTGAATTCACTTGGGACGCTAAAGATCACGTTCACATGTGCCTCATCTTGACAAAAGCATCTCTTTTCACCATCCGTTCCTCGTACTTATAGTGACGAAGAAAGCTGCCTCATGAGCCGGAAAACTCAAATCCTGGTCTGCAGCGTACTACAGTAGCAGCTTTTTTGTCAATCTATTTCCGACGATCATTGCATAATTGAGTTAACTTTCCCTTCTCGCACGTCTTCGTTGCCTGCGATAACAGTTCAGCGTAGTAGGCTTGCCAGTGCACATACTGCGTATTGAACGTTCTTACCTAGTTTGGAAAGATTCGCATTACAACACTGAAAACAATGGCATACAACTTGTGGGGGTACGTACCGTACGGGTACAGTACAAGCAGAAAATTCCCACCTCGCACTCACTGCTATCGATCCATTCAAAACTCTCTCAAGAGTTCGCTAGCATGCATGGAACGGAAGTTTTCGGCTAGCGGGGTTTGTGCCTTTCGAAACGAGAGCACGCAATTCCTGAATTGAAAGTTCTGCAAAACGCGACAACTATTCATTCAAAGCCTTGTCGGCATACAACTCACTACGACTTCATGTCATTCCAAACATGTTGACTTGCGTGAGCTCCCTATTTAGACGATCCAAAGGCCCGTCCACATCTCTAGTCAGAGACTCGTTTGTTTCACACCTATTTGCTACGGCGGTGGAACTCTCAGAGAGGTCCAGTGGCGTGCGAATCGCAACGTAATTTCAGTCTCACATCTTTAACCTCGATGCGACAGCAAAGGCAACAGGGGCAAACTGGCGTTATGCTTTGCTAACGGAAGCAACTTTGACACTCTAGCTATGTGCTCTGGCCTTCCCTGCAGTCATACATGACGTGAAAGTACTCGTCTTCTCTTCTCACCCCACAATACAAAGATGACAGTGCCCGGAGAAACTGCATTCATGCCCGCAGTGCTCTTTTTGACGAGATTGCCTACAAGCAGTCACGAGACAAACATGCCATCACATGCTTCTGTCTTTCTGAAAAACTTGAGATGTGAGCATCAGCCCAATGCCATTGTCAAGGAGCATTACAAAACTGTTACTAAGAAACCCATTTCTTTCACAAAACCGTTGTACAATTTAGTTGCAGCTTTCGGCGATGAGTCATCGGGAGATTCATGCCTCATCAAAGCATCCGTGTTGCGCACGTAGTTTGAAATTAGCATGAATCGGAATAATGATATATTGGAATAATTACATTTACAGTATACAGCGCGACTGGGCCTACGTATAACAAGCATGGCAACCGATTGGTGCTCGACATCATTTCTAGGGTCGAAGCGTGCGGTTATCTCAGCGGGTATTATGTATTCGTTACAGTATGTACAGTATCGCATTAGCTTGCTAATATTCCAAACGTGAAACTGATATGCGCTCTCAGAGGCAAATATTTCAACTGAGTGGTTTAAAACCACGAGATTTGTTCATGTGTAGCCTGATTTCAATTCACTGCAAGTGACGTTTTACAGCTCGTTTAGTTCGTTTTTCGTTGCAGGAGCCGGTCAACTGTTGATATCTACGGTACTAGTGTACGATAACTGCCCCAGTTATTATGGAAATTCCGGTCCATTTCTGAGAAGCTTAAACTTCAACATGTTGTCAAAAGACAAGGCCCTGCATGCATATTTTTTTTTGTCGGTGTCGGGGTCAACGACGTCGAAGCCCAGCTGCAAACCACTTCCCTCCGGGAGAGGTACAGGGGGATCCCAATCTCCAATGATTTAGTTTCTGGAGCAAATCCCTCTCGTGGGATAGCGAATAAGAAGGCTCTGAGAGTACCCGCTGAGCAGTATTGATAGATTAGCAGCTGCATCAATATTTGCCTTGTCAACAACTCTACGTTTCAACTTGATCATGAGGAGAAAATTCAGTGATCAGGAGGCTTGGAGAAACTGCGCGAGGGCCGCCTTAATATGACGTTCTTGTTATTTGATCTTTCCATGTATTTCCTTCATGTTTTTTTTTTCTATTCTTGTGCAAGATGTTTGACGAGCAAGAAAACTTATTGAGAGGAACAGGTGGTGCTAAAATTTTCTGCACCGAAACGAGTCTGCCTCTAATAACAACTTGCCAACAACTTGTCGAGATAGACACTGACGGCGTTTTTGAATATTTCATCCAATGGCTTTGAGGTTAATTCTCCTCTTGCTGCGGTGCATGACAGCACAAAGACGTTGCATAGTTGATGTACCCATTGTCATTGAACTTGACCGGAATGTGGGGGAGATGTGCGAAGAGCAAGGCAGACCTGCAGGGACTATTTCCTGAGCATGACGCTACGGAGGTGTTTCTTTGAAATACTGGAATAAATTCGGCAGCAGCCGAAGTGCACTAAATTAGTTTCTACTGCAGTCTACTGTACATGGGGGTCTATCACGGGCAGGTGATGTCCAAATTTATTCTCACATGAGCCCACTTAAAAATCGAAAGATATCGGCTCCTCATTCAACTTCTTTTTGAGATGTGCTTTCGTGCCAACATTGTTGTTGCATGCGGCATGGAAGAGACAACAACATCTTGACACCGACGATGTTTGCGGTGAGACGCAACAATACAGCATTTGCGTTGTGGAGAAATAGTTTGAAGAATAAACGAGGCGCGGCTGAGGTAGCCTATTGCAGGTTAGCGTAGTCATGAACACAAGAACGAAACAAGGTGTTCGTCTTTGCTTCGGGGCGACAACAATAGATGGCATGTATCTCCAGATGAATGCAATGATCCAAGTTCAAGCGTAGGACGAAACGTTTGGAGATGACCGTCGTTGTGTTGCGGGACGGCATACTTGAGTTCGTTTTTGAGGTCTTTGGCAGGAGATGACATGTCTGAAAATGATCGTGGGAAAGAGGACATATCAAGGAATATGTAAAGGACAAGAAGACGAGGCAGTATTTTCGGGTAGGTGTAAAAAATATTAAAGACGTCTACGTCTCCCATGGTGACGAGACTCTTGCGATCTGTAGTGATGGAAATGTTCTCAAAGCACAAGCGCATTAGCTGCCGAAGCGACAGTATCATTAGTGCATGGAGCGTGACGTAATTCGAAGAGATGACAAAATGAGAAAGGGCGCGCCCTCCATTTTTGTCTTATTATTTGGACGAGAGTACTGTATCGAAAACAGCATCGCACAGCAATGTTCAAATTAAGAAAAAAAAGGAATAATAAAAAATGCATATCCCACACCGGCACAAAAGATGATGCGTTATCGTTTCTTTATCCGGGAGGATGACTATACTTGCGCTGGTTATGGAACAGTGGGGCAACGATACCATGATCATAGGTATGACAGAGCACTTTCCAGTTGCAATTGCATGTGGGATAGGTCAGCAAGGGAAGGATGTCGGGGACTGAATACGATACTGTACACGACGTTCGGCCGCCCAACCTTCATCTACTCCTGAGTGCGCGAAGGCATGTTGTATCGCAAGCATTCTGTGCAATTATGAAAAATATAGAAGCGGGGCTCTCTCGCAAAACCCCAGATGGAAGACGAGCAGGAGGGGCGTCAGCCTAGAATCGATTAGCCCATGCCTGCTCCAAAGAGTCATGAAGGCAAGGATCTATGATAAAACAACATGTGCACTTAGCTATGGTTGTTCCTTGTATCAGAACAAGGGAGGCCCTCCATCCTCAAGAGCTGTGGTATGGCACGTTGGGGCAAGTCATATGTATTCGGGGCGGTACCGGTTACACACGCAAGACGCATGTTGTCATGCCCGGTGGAAAATAATAAGATAACGAGAGCTATTTCAGCTAACTTCTTGACTTCGGCGGTAGGTGGAGAAGAAGATGCGTGCAACGTTACAAGAATGTGAGAGAAATGGAATCGTCTTTGGCATTCGTTAGCATTCCATACCTCGATCGACTTTTTACACGCCGTTCTGCAAAAATTACACGGCCATGTGTAGCAGAAAGACGTGCGGAGCGTGGCCGATGAGCAGGGACCCAAAACGTGCATCGCATGAAAAGCGCTCCTAGTCCGGCAACAGGGATGAATAGTGAATGTCAGTAGGGACGGTGGGCGGATTTCTGAGATTGACTGTGTTGGATTGCATTGTCTTTGTTTGTGCAAGCATTGTCAGTTATGTCGTCGTAGGACGCAGGAGGGCGTTAACTCGACGAGTGCAGAGAGGACGAGGTCTGGACGAGGTTTTTATTCTTTTCCACTGACGTGCCTTGCCAGTACGAACATTGAATGTTGTTCCCCTGTAAAGTTTCCGTACGGTAGTGTGGAGAATCAGGGTTTCCCGTCTCAATGTGAACTGTCGACACTTGATACGGCATTGTCCAAGGGGATTCCCTCCAGACGATGCTCGCATTGGAGCCTTGCTCCAAGCATGCAAGGCGATTTTTGACGGTGACGATGGCGGGTGCTTTAATACCCTTCGCTCTAGGTTACATACCGTACAGTTACTGTACAGGGTGCCATAACTGTGTAAAGATCGTAGTCTCGATGTGAACAACTCGCGACAAGCCGACGGCTTTGTGAGCGTGACCATGGGGTCACACGATGGAATATACGGCGCGTCTGAGAGCCCCACACGTCCCCCCAGTGGCCTCCTGCACCTGCAGTTGCTGAGCAAACGCTGCGAAAAAGAAACTACTCCCCCACCGTACCAGGGCCCCCTCAATCAAAAAACAAGCCCACGCTACACCAACACGTCGTCCAACACACCACCATACACCTTTCGCATTTAGGACGCCATCTTCTCTAACCCCTTTATCTGGTTTTGTCCCATCAAATATCTACATGCTCACCCTTCTTTGCCTCCTTGTTACTATATAACCAGTTACCCCATTTCTCTTCTCCCCCCTTGCCCTCCCTCATTCTCTCTCCTTCTCCCATCCCACCTCTCCGGCTTGCATCCACCACTTGAAATTTTCTTGCGCCTAACTCCCACTCCACCACAATGACTTACCACTCCCAACTTCAACCTGCTATCAAAGGCATGGACGCTCCCTTGGCCAAAAGAGCGTGCCAAACCTGCCACACTTCAGTTACTTCTCAATGGAGATATGGACTATCAGGTATGTCTCAAGTCCATCTTCATCGTACCTTTCACGCTCTACCGCCACCAAGCACTCGTTTTCCTAAACTAACATCCAACTGTTCTTCATATCTCTCCTTGTTGCAAACAAAAGGAAAAGTTCTATTGTGCAATGCCTGTGGCATTCGTTGGAAGAGGAAGAACCGAACGACTGACAAAAGAAGACTGAAGCCGGGGCCGAAGCGGAGTCGCCAATGCTCCACGACCACATGCCCTAGTCCTAACTACATGAGCTCCTTCCGGCCAGTGGTACAACCGAACATGGACGTTATGTTCTACAAGCAGAGTCTACCTGGCATATACTCGCCCAACGGTAGCAACCTGTCCTCCAGCTCAACGATCACGGACCCACGCCTGGAGACGGCATCGATGGGGGCAAAGAGGTACTATCAGCAACAACACTCAACAGAAGAGTATCGTCGACCATGCTCGAAAATGAATGTGCACAGTCTGGTGTCTCCGACGAACGCTCACCCGAGGAGCTCACCAGATAGTACGACATTCTCAAAGAAGAAGCATGCTAGGCATTCGTCGCCGATTTCTATTAAGAACTTGCTGAATTGCGCAGACGAAGATGGGAGCAACACTGCTTATTCATCATCTGCTTACAGGGCCCTTCGCTGCTAAGGAAATGGAATGACGGGGTACGGGGAGGGGGAGGAGGTAGAAAACAACTTTTTAACTAAGCTCAATAAAAGTGCTAACTCGGAAGAGAAAAAACAAACAAAGTAGGAACAAGTCCAACTGACATGGCTATAGAGAATAAAACTACCATAATGCATTAAGCCAAACATGTGAATTGCGGTGCGTCGATCGCATATACACAGTATCGCATTATGGCGCCAGTTCTTACTTTAATGGCGGTTGGAGCGGGTTTCGACAGCGAGTCAGACATGGAGCTAGTATGCGTCGTGCCGTTGCTGTTCATGTATCAGTTGCATGGACACGATCGTCGTGTGTGATGCTGTCATTGTGATGGTGAGACTCACTAGGAGACGAGTGGGGCTCCAAGTAAGGAAGGTCATGTCGCCTGCTAGCTTTATCCTATTGGGCAAGACGTCATCAAAAAGGGTAATTCTTTAGATTTTCACCTGCTAGTAATAATAATAATACTTGATTTTGACGTCACTACTTGTCGCTCAATGGGTCGGAAAGAACAGCAGTGCGCCAAGAGCTAACCTACTTTTCACCAATGAAACAGCGTTGCAATTCCGTTGTGATCACATAAATTGGAAGAGGACGAGCATGCCTACAGTACGTACAGTCCTCGCAAACTCGGGTTCCGTAAAACGGAGCCCACGCCCTCGACGTACCTTCGAAGGTACAGCGAGTACCAAGGGTAGATGTCTCTTCCCCAACCATGGAAAACAGAATACACAGGCAGTGAAATAAACCCCGTTGGCAACAGGACGTCACAGAGAGTCTTCAAACGAGCCAGGAAGGCAGGCCACACCGCAACACATACCCTGACACTGCTTCTGCATGTACCAGGCTGGCCAGGGGCAAGGCAGACTGGCCAGTACAATCATTTTCGCCTCACGACGTACCCAAGAGTCCCGCAGCTGACCCGACCTGTGACGGCGGCGGGCTCGTCACAAAAGATAGCGCACGGCATGCGGCGATGGCTACGGATAGGTACGGCACCTCTTGCGAAGCGTTGCGACGCTCATGCTTCACCACGTAACGCGGGGTTGAGATAAGCACAAACGATTGGGAGTTGCAAGGCCTGGGTTGCATACCCGGATGAAGGGAGAATGATTAAAAAGAGTCCAGCCAGCGTGCAGCCAGAGCAACGTGCAGCCAGAGTACGGTAAGATAGGAGGGGCTCCTGCCGAGCACTTGGCCACTCGCGGTCTCGCATCGACACGGAATACTGCACTGTCATGCACATTGTTGAGAAGGCATGTTAGACGCCATGAGATTTTACAGAGCATGTAGTGGGCCCGTGATGAAGTGTATGCACGATCGAAGCCCCAGGACGAAAGCATCATGCTTGCGTCCTGGTGCTTCGCCACAAGATGTGGAGCAAGAGCTGGGTGATTAATTGAAGAATAGCAGTCGGGCCTCAGGCGCGCCTTTTTCGCCGTCGACTGCGATTGTACGACGATGAAAGAGGAACGTGCTACTAAAAGAAAGACGACGACAGTACTTCTACAACGCTTCGGGGCGCTCCTGACAGTACCAACACAGCCTTGATGGATGACAGTTGCACCAACACCGCAGGAGCCATTCGCACTGGTCACCCTTGTCCCATGCTCGACTCAACCCTTCAGGTCAAGCTTAAAGTACAACGGGAAGACGCATCTCCCAATCCGGAGATCGTACCCAAAACCCTTTCCTCTGGGCACGCGTCCAGCTTGCCGACAACACGCGCTCCTCTTACCGTCGACGCCCCTTGCCAGCGCTTCTAAGGTCCCCGCGCTATGGCCTTTCGTTAGCAGTACAACATCCGCATCCGCTCTAAGCCCATTTTGCGTGGCCAAGCGATCATTGCGAGAACCGCCCAAGCGCCAGCCAGCCCGCGTCTCCCAGACCGCCGCACGTTATGGAATCGAAGAGATTCTATCTGCAGACCTTTCATACTTGTCAGAAAACAACATTATGCTCTGTTACTTCTTTCTACCTTCATATTAGCGAATGGAGCTGCTTTCCCATTTGAGCCGTTCCTTCACGCATCTCATTCATTTGCAATAAGGGTGATAAGCTTTAACACCGTCGCGAGAGTACAACTCATTTTCTGGACGTCGCCGTTGAATTGATCCCCGTCACGCCACAGAGCAGATATATGGCATCCAAGATCTATCCTAGAATCAAGGCCACGTTAGCCTTCAAATCCAATCGCAAAAAATTGCATCTTTCTCCGCCCTCAGTTTTTCTGATAAAACTTTTCGCCCATGTAAACGACGGGAAGTACTCAACCCTGTGCGTGTTCAGCACATACCGAGATTAGAACGAGTGGTTCGAAATGAAGCAGTACAAAAAATAAATTCCAAGGATGCCACTCAAGTGACCGCATTCTATGTTCCCTCTGAATGCAGCGTATAATATGATGGATTATTGGCCCACAAGCGCTATTAAAGGTTTCTAGAATACTCGTATTTATTGCAGGTATAATTTGTTTGATTGCAGTCCTTCCCTCTTCCTTTCATGTTGAAGTAGTTTGGTGTTTGGCGGCTGCTTTTAGGATGGATGACAATAAAATGCTATAACAGAAGTCATACTTACTTTCTCCAAAGACCGCGCATCAGCCTGTACATCTATAAGACTTTCGGTATTTTGTCCATTATTGAAACGAAACCATCTTCCGCTTTCTTAGAATAATTTAGCCCTTTTCCTTTTCGCGTACGGAGTGCAAACACGATATGCCCACTTTCGAGGATGTGGTTGTCAAATATAGTTTTAGAATGGCTATCTGCAGTACTGGATTCAGTATATATTTTGTACTCAGTAAAGAGAATGCTTTTTGAATCTCACAGTGCTCAGCCGTGATTGAGATGCCACTTTTTCTTGCTTTTTTAGAATTCGTTTGGCATTCATAGACTCGGGCTTACAAGCCTTGTAAAGGTGGTAAAGTATAAACGCTTTCATTCGTGATGAGATAAGATCCTAGCCCTCTCTCTTACCTCAAGGCTCGAGATGTCTTGTTTTCAATATGCTTCATGTACAGGTTCCTCAACACTGTGCGTACTTTTTGCTATAGACAGACTGGAACATAGAGAGAAAAAGGGCCAGATTCAGTGACAAAAACTTCATGGGAATTTTGGCTACGAGACGTGTTGAAAATAGATGTGTGACAACATTCCTTCAAGGAACTCCTGCACAATTGTGTATCCGCAACCCTAAATTTACAACAAAGACTCGCTGTAGAGATGTTTAATTCAACTTGTTATGAAGTTAGAAAGCATTCTAGAGCTCAAATTCAATAAAACAAGTTTGAAGTTAGACCCACGTTACAGTATTTGTTGTTGATCATTGTGGCTGTCATTTCACTCTCAAATGCTTGACTCTCTTCGCATTTTACATCTTTACGTCACTTTTACATAACTGCCAGGTCGAAGCTCGTTACTCTACCGAGAACTCATCCTTTTTCTCCTTCTGGCACACATGACAATATTGCAGTTCATACGTCAAGCCTATTTGATTGAAATCAAAGGGCCATGAATTATCAGGAAATATATGTATATACAGGGGGGGTCGCGATATAGTGCCATCTTTGTTAGTGCCAGCTCCGATATAGTGCTACCCTTCTAGGGGTGGCACGAATTTTGAGCCAAAAACGAAGGGTCTCCAGAGAGGCAAGGCAGTTGGATGGACGTACTGCCCGAGAGCCGCTGCCGCCGCGGAAAGATATTATGCAGTTGCTTACTAGAATAGAGACTATGGCGGAAAAAGGCAGGGTCGATGATGCAATTGGACATCTGCAAAAGTGTAGGCTGGCATTTATGGCTGCGAAAAAGGAGGGAGTCAATGCGACGGCTCGGCAGCACTAATAACAGAAATGCTTGATTAGACTTGAGTCTGTAGTGAAGATGCAAAAAGTATGAGTGATGGCGTCCTGGGAGCGGTCTTTCTGAGCAGTGATGCGCAAGGGAGTGGCTGCAAAAAAGCCGTAAATCTCATTATCTTACAGTGCCTGGCTCGATATAGTGCCGTTTTCGGCCCACGGACACAGGGTAGCACTATATCGCGACCCCCCCCCCCCCCCCCCCCCCCCCCTGTACAGAGATAATTTAACTTGTGAAATACAAATAGGAGGGATCTAGGTTGAGTCAGTAGCCTCAGCGTTTGCAACCAACTAAGTGCAAAGAGGCAGGGATTTGCAAACCCGGTTCTTTATCAAGGTTAGTATCCTGCGTAGTAAACACGTCGGCGAAACTTAGTCTAGCATTTACTGAAAATATGAATAATTGAAACGAATTCCTCCTCATCTCTGTCTGTAACTCTTGCGCTGACCTCATCGTTTGCTTTCAAGGGATGGGTACCAAAATCAGCTTCAAATCTTCTAAGGTGGACATCACCCAAGTGCAATCACCACCAGCAAAGTTTTTTTTTCTTTCAGAATGGACTTTGAAGGACACTCGTGTCTTTCTATTTTCGGATCTGAGACGTTTCCTCTGGCATGCATGGTGCCCTAATGACCGAGTCCGACAAAAGGAAAGTTCTTCAATTTCCTTTCCACATATTTTTTAGAGCTCCTTCCTGTCTTCTTTTTTTGTGCTTATGGGCATCCTGGTTGAGACCCAGCATAGTCCTCAAGGTCGCTGACAGGCTTCTTCTGTTTTCTTCTTCTTGATATTTCTCGTGATAATCCGCATGCTTGTCCTTCTCACAAGCCTCGGACTTTTCTAGCACAAATAAGAATCGCTTTCCCCCAGATTTTGCTACATCCACGACGACATCTTCTGGGCAGAAGCGGATTCCGACTTCGTCGACAAGGCGTACGGTTTGCAAGGCTACCAGTTCCAATTTCTCTAAATTCTCGGTATTTTTTCGTAGAGACTCCCACATCGCCGCTACCGTTGCGGAACCATGCGCATCAATTATCACATCGTTTTCCATCAAAGGCTTTCGACCTCCAGTTTTGCGTACATTCACGGGTATTTTATAGGTCTTGCGCTCGTCCAGGAATCGCATAACTTTGAGATTTGGAGTGGCCGTGAAAATCAATCGGCTAGGAAGCAGTTTCGTGATTGATGCAAAGGTGTCAGTTGTCTTTGCGTGCGTAGTTTTCCTATCACTCGAGACCACTATTACTGACTTATTCTTCACCACCGTGTAGCGGCCTACATGAGAAGGATGCCTGTTCAGTGCGGCACGGAAATGGTGCAGCAAAGTAGCAGAGGAATTGACAGGAATGAAGATATCTTCACGTAGTAGGACATGTTCTCCATGACTAAAGCGCAGATTCACTGAAACGTGCAACGGCATTTGAAAATTGGCTGGAAGTGTCTCGCGACGTTGGTGGGATTTGGCAGATGGTGGAGTGGTTTCGACTTTTGACTGTCGATGGGTGCAGTGGTGATGTTTGTTCTGGATATGGTTGCAAACTTGTCTGCGATCGGGCTCAATTGATTGAACACTTTCACTGAATTCTGGGATAGTCATTTCATGGCCATCTTTGGCTCGTTCGCTCTTTCTGTGCTTGCGACACCTATGATGCTGCCTTCGATGCTTCTTTTTGTGGATGTAGGGACGGTGATGCTTATGTTCTTTTTCGACTTCCTGAGATTGGTCTGACAAAGGATTATTGACAATGTGGAAGAAGTCATGGTTTTCGTCGAGATATTCAGCTGAAGTTTCTGTTGTTGGGCCTGTTGACGAGGCGGTGGGGGTCTCAGTGGCGTCGCTTGAGTCAGATTCTTCTTGCCCATCGCAATTGGGACATTCACAAAACTGCATCGCGGAAATGGGCTACGAGTGACAGAGTGAAGACTGAACAAGTCGTTCCCTGAGTGCATGTCAAGGTTATATGGTATTCGTAGTATTGAAATGTTTCCTGTCCTCTAGTCCAAATGCTTTTCCCTTGCAAATGTTTAATGTTTCTAGGCAATGGAGATGATGCAATGAGCTTCTCCCGTGAATTTTGCAGTGGCATGATGGCTCAAGGATGCCATAGAAAAGTGTCAAGCCGCTGTGACACATCACCAAGGCCCATGGGACGGACCAGCGGGGTCGCGATGCTCGACTTAGGATGCTGAATAGCTATTTTGTGCTGTGCCCTTCGAAATTCAGCAATCAGATATACACGTTGTCCACGTTTCACTTGCCCGGGCCATTGGATAGTCCTGCCATCATTCCATGACAGAATCGAAAACATCACCGACCTCAGAGAGCCCTCACAGAACCTCATCCAAGTAATGCCGGCGCACCCCCATCTCCTCCACACGCTCACACCCACTTCTGCCGCGGGCGGCGTCTTCACCGCTCGCTTCTCCTCTACGAGCAACCATGTACTCCACGGCGGGGCGTCCCGCATCCTCCATCTGGTCGATGCCCGCTCCGGCGCGGCCCTGCAAACTCTCTCCGGCCACGCCCATCCTATACTCGCATGCGGCATCTCACGCTCCTCCAATCGGCTCGTGTCCGCAGGCCCCGATCGTACTCTCTTCCTATGGGACGCCTCCTCTGGCACACTCGTCGCACGCCCCGGACGTCGTGATGGCCATCTCGCCCGCGTGAACGCAGTCGCGTTCGCTGCCCGCAATGATGAGCTCGTGCTCTCCGCCTCATACGACAGGTCCCTGCGAATATGGGATGCCCGCAATCCACACGCACGTCCCATACAAGTGATTTCCGATGCGTCAGACTCCGTCACCGCAGTCCTGCCGGATGGCGATGCCATACTCACGGCCTCTGTCGACGGCTGTGTCCGCTCTTACGACATCCGTAAGGGTATGTATAACGTGGACGCCCTTGGCGCACCTATCGGGTCCCTTGCGCTCACCCAGGACAGATTATGTATTCTTGCGGCGTGTCTTGATGGGTCTATGCGCTTGTTACAGCGGTCGACCGGCGATTTGCTCGAACTCTACCGGGGACATGCCAACCAGCATTTTCAGCTTGGATGTGCGGTGAGTGGTGACGACGCCTTTCTGTTTTGTGGCGATGAGGGAGGAGGATTTTGCATGTATGATGTGTCTCAAGGGAAATCTCCTGTGTGGAGGGGGGGTGGCGATAACAAGGAACAAGTTGTGGCTGCCATGGATTTGTGTCCGAGCACTGGGTTGCTCGTTGTAGGTAGGCATGACGGCAATGTATCCCTGTGGAAGACTGGCTCAGGGTGACTGTCCTTGTTCAGGTATATTTTCAAGCCAAGGAGCTACTACTATTATTCAAATTTCGAGCGCGGGTTCGTGGACTGCTCACAGCACACACGTCCTAGGAAAAGAGTTTGCTCGCCTATCCCCAACTGCGTTACTTCGAGAAAATTCGTTGATTACGAAGGGAATGCAAAGTCTTGTATTTTTGCGACTATTGTCTTTCAGCCTTGTCATGCGGAGGCAGGTCAGGACAATGTATTGATCCTTTTTTGACGTGCGTAAATAGCTCCCCTTCAGATTAGTTTCACAGCAACGCATTAATTGATGTGCAACGAGGCGGGGGCTTTGACCCCGCCTCGTTGGTAGCTCGGTGCAATGGCACACGATGAATGGGTGTGACAGGCGTGGTGGTCAAGATTTTGCACTTTCCATCACGGGGGGATTGGAAGGAGGCTGAATATGTATATGGGGCCCCAGAATCGGTGTGGGTATTGAAGAGGTCGTCTGAGCAAGTTCGACGTAGCGTTTTTTATTTTGCTGATTATGTCGCACATGTAGTACCTACCCTCGGGTACATCGTACTGGACATGGTCTGATGTCATGTTAAAGGAAGGTGTTCCTTCACAGTTTAAATTCGGGGAAGGAATGGTCCTTGACAGTTAAATTCGGGGAAGGAATGGGGGGTGGTCTGATGGAGTATCATAATCTTTCCAATAGCCCCATGATGACTGAAACTTGTCGTTCAAAGGACCAACGTGCACGCACAAAGTGTGCAGATCCTCACGTGGGCCTGAAGAACGGCCCTGTAGATGAGATTTCTCCTGCCCAAAACTGCTGCGTGCTTTATTCGCGACGAATGGAAACTCAGTTGGTTTCGAATTTGGAATGAGAAGAATTGTTTTTCGTGACAATGCGCTTGAAAGCCTGTACAGTACTGTATCCGGTTTAAACCATTTGTTGAATACAGTACGTCGCATCTACCGAAAAAGGCTCTCTAAATGTGCAATTTACAGTCCAGAGTGACTCAGGAGGAAGGCATATTGCCCAGGCACTGACCCTACCCTTGAAGGGTTTGTCGAATGTCGGAGAGAGTAAGCAGGAACAGTGACAATGAAGTCCAAACGTGTGTACTTTACGCTACGTACGACCATGGCAGCGTTTCAATCAGGCTCCACACAGCACCCTTCATACTCCTTACCTTAAGGAAAGGTAGAGCATCCAACAGAAAACGTGCGGTCTGCACGTGCACGTTTCCACAGAGTGCCTTCCAAGAGTACATCCATCATCTCTTGTAGCAGTTCCATCCCGAGAGAACCCATGTTGTGTACCCGTGCGGTTGTGCATGCACTCTCACTGTAGGTCTACAGTAGCACATGCTCCTGCCTGAGTGATTTAAAATCGGGATGTTATCAAGTAGCCATCGTAGTGTCTCTCCAAAGGTTGCGGCTGGTGTGACGACAGCGAAAAGAGCAAACTTTTGCAAACTGTACTTTTTTTTCTTTTTATCGATGATTGCCAGGGGTCGTCTAGCTAGAGCAATCGCAAGGGTCAAGATTCCTCTGAAGGCTGCTACATTTCGATATGGTGGCAGGAACCAGGGTTTTACTCGCAGAGGTCGAAATGCACATGTACTGTATCAATATTACGAGCACTAGCAAAAACGAAGATGGCGGACATGATGGAAGAGTATTAATCAAAGGTGATCTGTATGACCACTGCGACGTTCCTGGTTGCTGGTGAGGCATGAAACTGAAGAGTGACAGTATGACAGGGGCGACTAACAAATGAGAGGGACAAGTGTTGTTGTACATCATTGTCATGAAACTAAAAGCGAAGGGTCCCTGCCACGAGAATGCAGAGCCCGGGCAAAGGGCAGCAATGTTGCACCTCCCCTTAGGAAATATAAACGCGTTCTGTGTCTTCGATTATAGAGGACCATCGCATGCTTTTTTTGGCAGTCCCGAAGTTATCATCTGAGGACCTGGAGAGGACGAGGTAGTGAACTTGTTGGATCGAGATTGCTGCAAACTCTAAAGTCAGCGCCAAGAACGGCTGCTTGCTCAGAGGCCTCAGGAGAGCGGTCCATCATCCAGCTCGGAGGCCTGTCACGCTCATGTGAGGGGACATGGATTCCTCTGCGAACGCCGCCAAAATTGTTCAAGCTGGAAATCGGCACGTTGTTTGAATATTTAATTATATCTGCGTGTCATGAGATCGGCACTACAGTTGCCGTTCTTGTATGCATTGCAGTATCTCGGTTCCAAATTCTGTACAGTAGTGCACAGACCGAGCAGTAAACTCTATTGTAAAGTTTACCGAACCGCGAGTTACGAGGAATGGTTCAGTAACTGTATTACTTCGGTAAAACCCTACTGTACCTTTCTAGACAATCGACTTTTGCAATGTACAGTAGTGGACAAGAGGACCGTTTTTGCACACTGTTGGATATAAACAGCCTCCACAATACAGTACCCTTGGTACAGTATGTTTCTAATAGTCTTGTGTTCTAGCCAAAACTGAACTCTTGTGTTGAACGAAGGAGAACTTTCCCACCTCGACTCTCCCAGGTTGCTCTGCCTTATACAGCATGTACAGTGATGGTACTGTACTAGGGTACGGTGAATCACTGCGCCGTCCACCCGTGTTGGACTGCAGCCGCAGTACCACTCCCTTAACAAGTACCCTTCCCGGAAAGGTCAATTCCGGACAATGGTCAATTCCGGACAAAATTAAACCCGCGTCCAGTGAACCATCACCAATGAATGCAAGGGCCACAAAACATAGCCAAAGGGCAGACAACAGCAAGGACAGTGCGCTGGTAGCTTTCAAAATCAGAAAAGGCGGGATCCCTGAGCGTGACGTAGATTCAAAGTCGCGAGGGCGGTGCATTTATAGCGGTCTCCGTCAATGACAATTAGGGATAGCATCTTATATAGTCTTTTACAGTCGCCAAGTCACCTTTTGGCCACACCGCAATGGCATTCTCAATGAGACAGCAGACAAAACGGATCAAAAGGCAGAATGAGAAGGCTTCGAAGCGCATGAAGAGCAAAGCTGCCGCAGTGCAGCTTTTGAGAGACACAACAATGTCGTTGCGTGCCATATCGAAAGCGACAGGTTTGAGTAAGTCAGTTGTTGGGGAACTTAAAGAGCTGGTCCGGAAATCAGATTCTGAAAGTATCAGCTACCAGGAGACAGATAGGAAACTGTCACAACCAGGGCGACGGATGGTTCTGACAGAGGATGAGGAAAAAATGATAGCACAGCGCCTTGTTTTTGCTGCACAACGTGGATTTGCTGCCGATGTTGAAACATTAAGGACCATGATGGCTAGAATAGCTGCCGATGGCCGCGTGAATTGGAACAATGGCATCCCTAGTTACGATGCAGTGCGATCTTTTAGATCACGTCGTCGAGAACTAACATTTCGAAATTACGAATGCAAAGACAAGGCAAAGCTGAAAGGAGAATCATTCGTTCATGTGTCACGTTACTTCGAAATATTAAAGACTATTAACGACAAACATCCCGGAATACTGCTTGATGGGGATCGTGTTTGGAACATAGATAAAACTGCGGTTGATGCAACATTCGGCAAGCGTAAAAAAGTGTTTGGTCCCTCCGATACGCATCATGGTGGTTTCATAGCCTCTTCCAAGACACAAGGAGTAGACAAACACATAACTGCCGTTGTTGCAGTTTCAGCATCTGGTCGAGTCGCTCCACCGTTCTTCATAGTGGCTGGAAAATATGTCATGTCAAGTTGGCTGGAGCCTTTGCCAAAAATGTTTGGCAAAAGTGGAAGCGATTGCTATCCGTTTCAATGCCATGGATGGTTCCCGGCTGACGGAGTCGTAAAGTGCAGTGAGAATGGATCGATGGAAATGGATCTACTTGCCGCATACATGACACATCTCAATAATTTTGTCCGCAAGTTTGTCAACACAAGCCAACACTATGTTGTTTCTCTTGATGGCCACGCATCACGTAATGGTTTGAAGTGGCTCGAGGTTTGTGAAAAGAACAATTGTGAAATTGTGTGTTCACCCGCGAACACATCCCACTTTTTACAACCTTGTGACCAAATGGTCAACAAGGAGTTCAAGGTTGCTATTCGCGAGATACGAGATGAATTCTTCAAATCTCAAACGGTGTCAACACGAGGCGTACAGTTTAACCTTATCTGCGGAGTTTACGCATTCTCGCGCATCACAACGCAAGGCGTTCGGGATTCATTCAGCAGAACTGGACTGTATCCTTTCAATCCAGGATTTGCTCAGACGTTTTTAGATCGGAAGCAGACTGCTGTCAGCGCTGAAAAATTACTTGATGCGGCGGTTTCGAGACCAGCAGTGCCTCAAAACACGGAGTTATTTCCCCACACGAAGGAGCGCACACCGGATTTGGAGACTGTAGAGAAGGTTGACAGCATTATGAACAGCGAACTTGGGCCCTCTTTAAAACTGCAGCGCTTAAGCATGTTGCTGCAAAATTCGAGCACGGTTAACAACATCGTAATGGACACTGTGTCTTCACAATCGACATCTACTGCAATGAGCAGCAACACAACACCAAAAAACGTGCGACTCTACTGCGGGGCTCCCGCTGAACATTTGACTGTCGGACTCATGATTCAGCGTCGTCTTGACAGGGAAAATGCCCAACAGGTGGCAGAATTGGCAAAGCATGAGCGTCGAAAAGCGGCTGAGAGCCTACGTAATGCTAAGAAAGAGGCAGCTCTGAGGAAGAGGAAATCTCGCGAGGATGAGCGAAAGAGATTAAAGGACCAAAAACGTCAGGCTACTGAGGAAAGAGCTTCGAAAAGACGCAAAAAGGCAACAGCAAGAGGCTCTGAGGTGCGCTTGAAAGGGTCAGAGGGTTGTAGGGGAAGTCGAAAGAAGTCGCGAGCACAAAGAGAAAGCTGGAAGATATCTAAAGCTATTGTCGGGCAAATTGTTTCGGCTGTCCTGGCGAAGAAATGTTCTGTCCGGAATTAACCGTTGTCGTAAAATTTTGTGAAACTG